TTGACCTCGGGTGAAGGGTGCAAGGTCATTCAAGGTCAACTTTTTTTTCTTAAATGGGAACCCCTATTTTTCACGTCGGCAATCGATTCTACGTAAAAAAAAAATGAAACTTTTGTCTGAAGCACTTTTTTTATAACGCAAACTAATTTCACTTATTCAGCCTCCAAAATTGAAATTTTCAAACTTTTTGAATTTTTTACTCGAGAATGGTGGGGTTTGGGGGGAAATTGCAGAAGACAAAAAGTTCTTAGAATGCTGCAAGGAATTCACTCGAATTTTCGCATAGTTGATCGTGTACTTTTTTCGAGATACCTCGTGACAGGTAGAACATTGGCGGAAAAAAGTGCACGATCAACTATGCGAAAATTCGAGTGAATTCCTTGCAGCATTCCAAGAACTTTTTGTCTTTTGCAATTTCCCCCCAAACCCTACTATTCTCGAGTAAAAAATTCAGAAAATTTGAAAATTTCAATTTTGGAGGCTGAATAAGTGAAATTAGTTTGCGTTATAAAAAAATGCTTCAGACAAAAGTTTCATTTTTTTTTACATAGAATCGATTGCTAATGTGAAAAATAGGGGTTCCCATTTAAGAAAAAAAAGTTGACCTTGAATGACCTTGAACCCTTCACCCGAGGTCAAAATTGTTGGTGGCATCGAAGGTGGAATCGATCCCCCTTAGAACTGAGCAACATTTGTCTGACATTTTTTTCTGGAAAATATCATCCTCGAATTTTATTCAGCCGGCCGGATTAAAATTGGACACCCTGTATATATTGAAGGACATTTTTATTTATTATTTGATGTACGTAATTCTCATTAGAATTACTTCTGTTGCATGTTTCACGGTATCCTTTACTCATTCCTTACCCTGTTTTTCCAGAATACCGTGAGCCAACGAGTAATGTCAATCAAATGATTATATTTCCTTCAAATCTTAATGCTTTACTTATATCTTTTATCGCATCATTGCTAATAACAGAAGGTACAACTTTGCAATTTGTAGCATGATCACATGAAAGCCTATTGTTTATCCGTAATGGGACCTATAGCCTAATGATTTATGCAATTGTTTCAACTGTAATTGCGATCTTCTACGAAATTGAAAGTTATATACTTTTTTTTGTATTGTGAAAAAATAATATGTACTAGAAAGAAACATCATTTTTTAATATGTTATAAACTGTACAACACATTATTGATGCAATATTAAGGTACAAGCGAAGAAGAAGGAAATATGATGAAGGAAATATATTTCGTATTTTATTTAACTAATATTTTTTGAGATATTTAAGGAAAACTGAATAACTTTTTCAATATTTAACTCACAATATCTCGCTAACTATTTGTCAGAACAAAAAGTGGTACGAGACTTTTGTGCTCTATTTAGTCTCAAGAATATATTTTTACAATAGTGCTTGCTTTTGTTAATTTGGTGATATTTTGAAATTTCAAAATCATTAAATTAACCAAATTCAGGGCGCCATTGGAATAATATATTCTTATATTAATATAATTCTTATATTAATATAATTCTTGAGACTAAATAGGGCAAAAAGATCTAGTACCATTTTTTCTTCTGACAAATAATTAGCGAAATATCGTGAGTTAAATATTGAAAAAGTTATCAAGTTTTCCTTAAATATCTCAAAAAATATTAAGTGAATAAAAAAATATTTCAGACAAAAGTTGTTCAAATCAATTGCTAGACAAGACGATGTAATAAAAAATTGGGGTATCCATTTAAGATTTTTATGTTGATCTTGACTGGACTTTTCAAGGTTATCTCAATATCACATTCATAGCGTCAGTAAATAGATCCTTTGAAGCCTTACAACTTTAATTTGAAATATTTTTCTCTAAAATGTCGTGTTAACGAAAAATCGGGTGAACCGGGTGGTCTGGAATACCCGGTATATTGGATTGTGACGATGGAAACGTGGAAATGCATGTCAAAAGTTCCTGTCATTTACGGTTAAAGAAAGAAATATATCATTAGAATGACACTTGAAATCTGCTCTATACATTTGTAAAATGCTCTGCACGGTTCTCTTTTGCCGAAATAAGTATTATATAATCGCAAAATAAATGTTATAAAATCGATTGATTTTGATAGAACATATTGACAGAAAATCTGTCGCTCACACACACACACACACAAACACACAAACACAACGCGCGCGTTAATATTTATGTGTGTGATTCTTGTAATATTTACATGCTTACGTTATATACGTTTCTAAGACATTTTTGCAAAAATAGTGATATGAAACAGCATGTAACGTATGCATTCAAGCACACATATACACCAATGGCTTTTATTATATTTATGTTGCAGGAAATGCGTCCTGCAGTAATGGGTCCTGCTAGACTAAGATTTATGCAATTGTTTCAACTGTGATTGCGATCTTTAAGTCATGTTTATTTATGCCAACAAATGGAATATTTTATTTCGAGTTCAAAATTTTGTATGTGTAACGATTCTGCATCCTATGTTATACATCACAACTTGATGAATTTGATAGGCTCTTTTCACAGAAAAACACTCTTCTCATAGAAATATAGAGAATATTCATACAAGAACATACAAATGGGTGCATATTGCACTTACAAACATTTTTTTATGATATGATACTATAGGTATATAATATGTAAACTATAGGTTGCAAAAGATTGCTGATTATTATTGATGTAAATAATACCTGGTTTTCAGGAATATATGTAAATATATTTTCAATTTATAACTGTGTTGTATGTATAACAGTTACAGAAAAAATTTAATATGACCTACGAAAAGAAAAATTATATATCCCGGACAGGCGCGGGAGGGCCTCCCAAACATCGCGCCAGAGGTAAGTCACCGTGTGGGGTTTTAGCCGGTAAGAGTCCGGCACTACCCCGGCAAGGAGCCGGGGTGTCCATGAGGATTTCCCCACGTAAAAAAAAATAAAAATAAATGGAAAGAAAGGTAACGCCGATCTACATGCAATGTTAATTCATGCAAGTCTATCGACGCAGCGAGTCAAAATCGATTGCTATTAGTCGTCCCCTCGTCGAATCCACGCCGAAAGACAAACATCAGCCTCGGCTGCGTGTCGAGACAGAGCGAGATGGAGCGAACACATTCTCTGTCTCTCTTTTGCTTGGCTCGTCGAAACAAGTCGAGCGGAGGGCGGGGTCTCAGACGAAGTGTCATCGACGAAACGTGCAATGCTTGCGATGCCCGTATGTTCTATACGTGCATTTCCTTAAAAAATGAGCAAAAATTTATTGTGATACACGTATGTTGTATGCAACACGTGCATTTTCCTAAAAAATGAAAAAAAGTGTTGGCGAAAAAAAACAACGCCGACCGCCAAGCGGGCGCAAACCATCGACCTCAAACTCCGTGAGCCTAGCGCACTTCCACCAAGCCACATACTCATTGAGAAACCTGCTCCTTCATTTGGTTCATGAAGCAGTCGCGATTTTCAATCGCGACTTTCTTGCAAACGCTTCGATGCTACGCCGTATTTTTAAGTGCAATGTTAATTTGTCATGCAAATCTATCGACACAACAAGTTTGGTCGAAATCGATTGCTATTGATCATCTCGTTGGATTCACGCCGAGAGGGAAACGTCAGTCTCGGCCGTGTGTCGGGAAGCACAATCTCGGCAACGTTGCGAATCAAAGCGAGATGGAGCGGATACATTCCTTCTCTCTCTCTCTCTCTCTCTCTCTCTCTCTCTCTCTCTCTCTCTCTCTCTCTCTCTCTCTCTCTCTCTCTCTCTCTCTCTCCCTCTCTCCCTCTCCCTCTCCCAGTCCCTCTCCCTCTCCCTCTCCCTCTCCCTCTCCCTCTCCCTCTCCCTCTCCCTCTCCCTCTCCCTCTCCCTCTCCCTCTCCCTCTCCCTCTCCCTCTCCCTCTCCCTCTCCCTCTCTCTCTCTCTCTCTCTCTCTCTCTCTCTCTCTCTCTCGCTTGGCTCGTCAAAACAAGCCGAGCGGAGGGCGGGACCTCAGACGGATAGACGGGAGCAGTTTCTCTGAGTGTGTGTGCCGACTACATTTTTACACAGAAACGTACGGCAATTGAAAATGTTTAAGCATATACCCTGAGATTCTATCTGTTGCGTATGACACGTGTGTGTGTGTGTGTGCGTGAGTGCGTATATGCACACGTACGTCGCGCACACTTTCAATGCAACACATGCACACGGACACAACTGCGCTTAAAAACGCCTGCCGGAGTATAAATAAATACTAACGTAACGCTGAAATATTTTGGAATAATAATTTTGGGTACACATAAAATATTATCTTATTATCATATATGTATATATCGATATAAATTGTATATAATCTTCATGATATTAATCATATACAATCTCAATTCTTATTTTTTTTGCGCATGTTAACATGTTAATTCATGTTACAAATGCATAACAATGCGCGAGACTGTGCTTGTCAAGTACGCTATTGTGGTTGTAGCACGGACATAAACCGCCTGAAAGTGGATGTAGCACGGGCAGCCACCAGATGCAGGTTTTACCGTCGAGACCTAAAAGTGGATGCAGCATCGTAGTTCTCCTCTCAAAATGGATGCAGATAGCGCCCATTCCCAGTGCGAAAAATCGGTGTCGCCGAAAACGCCGTGTTAGCCGCTCTCAGGTTCCTCTCTGACCTTAAGCTAAGACTCCATGCATGCGGTGAGCTGCGTCAAATGCTGCGGTGACCAATCAGGAGAGAGGCGCAAGTCCGGTTGCGGCAAGCTCCGGCATGCGTCTGTCTCCTGATTGGTCACCGCAGCCGTTTGCCGGAGCTCACCGCATGCATGGAGTCTTAGCTTTACTATCTTCCTTAAGGAACTGGAGTGAATAAGAACCGTGCACGCTTTGCCGTTACCGTCAGGACGGATGTAGTGTGCTCACATTTTCTCAGGGGGCGCAATGGATTTCGGCGAAAAAAGCGTCCTAGCGTAATCGGCCCAGTGGCTGCTCTTAGGTTTCTCTCTGCTAGTAAGTTAAAGAGAGCAAATTTGATGTTTTTACTTTATCACATTGAATTGACAGTTTATCATGGTTGAGAATGAGAATATTTTGCAATTGTAGTTAACATTTTCATGTGTAATTATACACAGTTGCATAGAGAAATATATACAAGAGGTGCATCTCTTTAAAAAAAAGTTCTAGACATTATGTTGAAATATATTTTCCTCGTTGTGATAATCATCTTGACAACCCGCTTGTCACAATCAAATGTTAGAATGTTTTCCTTATTAACATTACTTAATTACTTATTAGATCACATATTCTTAATAACTAAAAATTATTTTAGGCGCAATATGATGATAAAAGATGCAAATGTATTTGCCCAAGTCTCTCATCCGTCATCAATACAACTCAAACCTCTATGGAACGTTTGACATATATAATCAATGTTCCACCATTACAATGGTAATTAACAATTTATTTTATATTGTTAAGCACTTTAAACTAATTACCGAAATGTAGATATAATTTTTAGCAAGTGCGAAAGTGTTGTTTTGCCAAAGCTTGGAGACCAAATAAAGGGCAAGGAAGAAATATTTTGTCCACGGTGTGACTGTAAATATGAAAACAGAAATACAACTATTATCAAGGTTATCTCATTATTTGCGAATCTTATATCTTTACAATAAGATAATAATGAAATAAAACAACATATATTATTGCAGATTGTGGTAATAATAGTTATATGGGTTATATCGTTATTAGTAATTTACATGTTGTTTTTAATTTGTTTGGATCCATTACTCAACAAACGGATACATAAAGCTTCAGCAAATATTGGTTATCATGAACATAATAATGAAGAGGTAAAGATATTAAATTTATTCATAGAACTTTTTTGATACTTATATATGTTTAAGGTTATGTTTGAAAAAGAGAAAAGATATGATATAAGTAATATTTGTATAGGATAGATTTTTCTTGAGAATATGTGAATATTAAAAAATATGATATTTAACCCTCTGCCCTTGAAGCCCGTACTTTCAATGTCCTCTCAAAAGGGACATCTGAGTGCAAAAGATTAAAAAAATCAATTATTACTTTTATCACAGTTATTTAAATGTTCCTATTAATATCATAAATATAATTTTATATCAGAACTTATTACATAATTTTTTAATATCTTTTATTTACCAAAATAAGCAAGTAACAAAACATGAATCACAATTTTCTCTCTAAATTGTAAAGGATGACTCGTCCATTGCACCTGGGACATCTCACCCAATGGGAGAAAGAGGCAATGTCTTGAATCGTGTTGGACATCAGCAAGATAAATGGAAACGACAAGTCCGTGAGCAGAGGCGAAATATTTATGATCGTCATACTATGCTAAATTGAATCATGCATTTTGTGCTTGAAGAATGTTATTAAGTATTTAAAGAAAGACAAAACTTTCAACTGTGACTATGATATGTTCATTGTTTTTTTAAAGTAGATTCTTTGCAGGTATTGTACATATATATCAATAAATATATCGATAATTCACGATAATAAAACAATATTAAATGTTAGCAATATTTATAAAACATACTTTCGTAGAATTTATTAATAAATTATGTCATAGCAAATACATTAATATTGAGCCAAATGTACTATGTAAAGATCTTATAATTTATAATGTTCTTAAAATAATAAACAATAAATATATTAAAATATATGCACGATATTATATGTAACAAGTTTATTCTTACTGCAATAAATTGCACTTATATTTAAATATGTTTATATTTGAAATGAAGATATATGTTTATATTTGAAATGAAGATATATTATAGTTAATGAAGAAGAGAAGAAAGTAGGAAAAAAAATATTTCCAAAAATATTTTATATTCAAACATATTTGCAAAATATTAGAAAAACTACCAAACTATAAGAAATAGACCTAATTATTAAGTTTTTTACTATGGCGCACTTAGAAGTGATAATGCTTGCAGTATATGTAAAGCAGTAATCATACTAGCGATTGCCGATTGGATTGCAATTGCAATTGACGATTGGCGATTACTTTTCAACCAATCAGGGCAAAACAGGCACCGATTGAGATTGGTGATTGCAGTTTAGACAATGCTCTATTTTAATCGCCAATCGCAATCGTAATCCAATCGGCAATTACTAATGTGATTACGACTTAAAATTTTTCAACTCCTGGAAGTTATTCAAAAACAAATTCATTCGAATTCGAATTTCATCTACTGCATACCAAACTCTATGCAGAAAAAAATATTAAAATCATATCGAAACTAAGGCTCATTCTAAACTCTCTTTCATTATTAAAAATGACTATAAAAGTGGTTTATAAGCTCCTCTTCTTATTGGCCGTAAACTACTTTTAGAGTCACTTTTAATGATTAAAGAGAATTCAAAATATGGTCCTAAATGTACATTCGGTCATAGAACACAACAAACCGAGAAGAAAATGGTAAGCATTTTGTAAGAAAGTTAAAAGATATTGAGTGCAAAAATTGCGATAACTTTCTCAAAGATGTCGTGGGTAACAAAGGTTTATAGTAATTTATTATAGTAATAGTATATATTATTAGTATATATTATAGTAATAGTTATAGTAATAGTAGTATAGTAAGTTACAAATATGTAGATGTATAATATATTAAAATTTGTCTTACGGCTTTTTTATGAAATTCATCAAAACTTTTACATTCACCCAATATGTCTTGAACTTGTTTCTTATAATTTCACAATGTCGCTACTAGCCAATACTTATTGTTGCTAATCAATATACTAGTCAATATACTAACCAAACGTGTCTTTAGATCACTCCATAGAGTTTCTACCGCTCTATTACGTGCACTAATTCGTCAATTTTTTCTAATTAATATAAATTTAATTTAATTAATAATTATTGTGATTTTCTATAAAATAGTAGAGAATTTCTTTTTGGTGAATTTTGCATGCATATCACATGTCAATGTCAAATGCACCGGATATCGGATTTCAGTTTGTTTCCTGTCACAATCTACAAAAGTCTATGACTGTAACTAACTTCACAACGCACGTGCATTCTGCGCATTGGCACGAAGCTGTTCTTTCGTATTCATTTCGTCGTTATTGAGAGTTTCGTCCCCAACGACGTCTTTGCACGACTACTGGAAGTCGTTTTATCAGTCTCTGTGAAAAGTTTGAAAGAGTTCTCGATTTCATTTCAAGATAACAGTATATTCGCCAAAAATGTCATCGCCAAATCGTAATGTAACACCCGTAAGACTGTTGCAGCCGTTACAGAATTTAGTGTTACGAAATCGTGAACTTGATTATCTACTTCCGGATGCTAATGTAAGTAATCGTTCAAGTGCGATTATGATCCATTTGAAGATATTTGTTGAAAATGAATATACAAGTGATATCTGAAGGTACATAAGTTTCGTGTGAAAAAATATACAATTTCTCGAATCTTCTAGAACAATATTTGGCACCATGTTCCGCTGTTTACCCCTCCTTCGGAGAGTTTAGTCATTCTTCCGAACGCTCCCTACAAAACGCGGACTCACATTTTTAAAATGCGGCTTCGTCTGGAACCCCGGAGGCTTTTTTATAGTACAAACCAACGAGACACAGATAATAATGAGACGGTGAACGGAGAAAAGAAGAAATACTCGCCATCGCAGAGGAAGCCAGACCCGACAAAGGAATCCGTGCTGAGAGATGAATCGCCTGAGTTGAGCGATAAAGAAAATCAAAAGTGTAGTAATGAAGGCAAATCGCGAAATCTGGTAAATGAAAGCGAGAAAAAAGATAATGGCTTTTCCCATCCATCAAATTTAAAACCCGGACAATACAGTAGAGGTAAATTCGTACATTTGCGCATTTAAATCGCATTTGAATATTTAAAACAATATATTAATGATAATTAGGGTGTAAAGTCTAATTAAATTAATAGAATGTTAATAATGATGATGATGATGATGATGATGATGATGATGATGATGACGATGATGATGATCGAATCAGTATCTCATATTGCATTAAAATCAGTGTCAAATTGACGAATATTTAGATATTAGTCATTTGTTAGATTATGTTAAAAATAATATGTTAAAAATAATTAAATTAGTATGACGATGATAGTATAAAAGTGATTATCACATCAGTATGATAATAATGTGTAATTAAATCGACGAATTATCGCCTAATAGACAGTTAGATATTAGTAAATTTAATCCGATTATTAGATTATTATAATAACAAACATTGGATGAATATGATGATTAAGATAAAATGAATGATAAATTAATTTGATTACAATATATATCACTAAGTTAATGTATGACAGTGATCGAGAAAGATAAATATGTAAATGGAAACAGAGTGAAAATTATTTGTTGTTACATGTCTACTAAACGGCTCGAAAAAACACTGGCCGCATGACTTTTCAAGCACGTATGCGCATGCATATACACTCACCGGGTCGCTGTATCCGCTGACGTCACAACGACCTAGCGACCCCGGCGAACCCCGGTAGCGCGATATTAACATTGCGCGATTTACAATTGCACCGCTGTATATCTATAATGTACGCATGATTTCTCCTTCGGTTTCTGTTCGTTGCAACTCGTTGCGATGCGTTTTTTCACTGACAAAACTGCCGAGACAAATTTGCTGCCGCCTGATTGATAGCATTCGTTATTTAAAAATTCGCTCCTCACTTAAAATCTAAATTTGTCCAGTAATAGATTCAGATATATTTCTAAATCCAAGTAAGTTTACAACTACATTCGTACTTGCAAGATAACCTTTAATCCGCCCTTAAAAATAGCTGTTATTCCAGTTTGCGTAGTCCCGCGGATTTCGCGAATTAAAAATTCCTACTGTCGAACGTAATTTCCAAGCGGAGGTACATGAAGTACGCGATAATAATCCAGTGGTGAAAGAACCACACCCGTTTGCGAAGGGGAACGGCCAGACGAGGTGGAAAGGTCCACTCCTCTCGGCCATCTTCCTCTCCCTTTTTACCATCGACCCTGTCTACGGCGCACCCATGTTTGTTAACCACTCGCACCCCTCAGGGTCAGTACGATCTCGAAACGCTATAATTGACCCTACCTATCAAACCCACTCGAAACCAGTGTAACTCCCATAAAAAACAATTTTTGTGCTTCTAGTCAGCCAAAATTACTTGCACAAATACTAATCAGCTCGTACTAGCTTGTGTGTGTTTCTACTTAAAAAAAATATATTTTTTTATTTCTTCCATTTCTCCTAATTTTTTTCTTTTTTCTTCTTTTTCTTATAGCAAAGGAAATCAATTTCGACTCATCTGATTCTGACTGATTCGACTCATCTCATTCTAAAACCTAAGCGCTGGCCATTACCATAGATGCTGAATGTATATTAGACGCAAAGAGCTAGTATATTTTTATAAAATTATACCTGGTCTAAAACTAATTGTGTGAGTTAAAATTAAACGAGCGAAGAAAAAATAATGCGTCCGTCTTTAAAAAGTGAGCTCAACGTTTTTCTGACTTATTTCTATCGGTAAGACGTACAGAAGAAAAAAATATACCGGGTGTTTCAGACCACCCGAGTCACCCGATTTTTTCGTTAACGCGACATTTTAGAGAAAAATATTTCAGACAAAAGTTGTAGGGCTTCAAAGGATCTATTTACTGATGCTATGAATTTAATCTTGGGATAACCTTGAAAAGTCCAGTCAAGATCAACATAAAAATCTGAAATGGAAATCACGATTTTTTATTATACCGTCTTTTTCCATCAATTAATTTGAATAACTTTTATCTAAAATATTTTTTCATTTGCCTAATATTTTTCTAGATATTGAAAGAAAACTTGATAACTTTTTCAATATTTAACTTACGATATCTCGCTAATTAGTTATCGAAAGAAAAAGTGGTACTAGACTTTTTTGCTCTATTTAGTCTCAAGAATATATTTTTATAATAGCACCCTGATTTTTGTTAACTTGCTAATTTTTGGAAATTTCAAAATCATCAAATTAACCAAATTCAGAGCACTATTGGAACAATATATTCTTGAGACTAAATAGAGCAAAAAGTCTAGTACCACTTTTACTTCTGATAAATAGTTAGCGAGATATCGTGAGTAAATATTGAAAATGTTATCAAGTTTTCCTTAAATATGTCAAAAAATATTAGGTAAATGAAAAAATGTTTCAGACAAAAGTTGTTCAAATTAATTGCTAGAAAAAGATTATGTAATAAAAAATTGGAGTATCAATTTAAAATTTTTATGTTGATCTTGACTTTTCAAGGTTATCTCAAAGTCAAATTCATAGCGTCAGTAAATAGATCCTTTGAAGTCCTGCAACTTTTGTCTGAAATATTTTTCTCTAAAATGTCGCGTTAACGAAAAAATCGTGTGATCCGGGTGATCTGAAACACCCGTATATACAGGGTGTCCCAGACTACCCAACTTTTTGAAAAAGTGACATTTTAGAGGAAAATGTTTCAGACAAAAGTTATATAGTTTCAAATGGGACATAA